TATATATATATATATATACATACACACACACACACACACACACACACACGCATGCATACATACAGTATATGGGGGATTGTAATTAGATTAGGTTACTGGAATTTAGTAAGTGTTTACTGTTAGTCAGCAAAAATAAATACTGTACAATGATCAGTTATTTTAATCAGAGTAATTTAAAGGCAGTACAACAGAGACCAGGATGTGTAAATACTGTGCAAATTAAATAACATATCTTTATTTTTTAATAAATAACATATCTTTATCATAATATTTATTACTTTATTTATTTATTTTTTATAATTTATTTATTTTGATATTACAGTAACAATAATTAGGTAGGATATGTGTTTAATTGTCATTAATAAATGTTACAATGGTCCTAAAATAGGCTTTGTGTTCATTATGCAAATTAGAATGTCTTAGTTTCTTTTGATTTTGGGGTGAAATAAGAGCTGATTCGTTTCATTGGATTCACACGAACAGCTTAGCGACTGTTTCTGTTTCTCTGTGTGTGTGTGTGTGTGTGTGTGTGTGTGTGTGTGTGTGTTTGTGTGGGCAGTCATATTTCAGGGTGACCGTGCCACTCTTTATCACAAGTTCACAACCCTGCTAAAAGTGCCAGTACGTGCGCTCATTGGCGCCCCTTCAGCTGGTGGCGCCCTAGGCGACCGCCTAGCTCGCCTATGCCTAGAAACGGCACTGTATGTGTGTGTGTGTGCGCGCGAGTGTGTATGTGTGTGTGTGTGTGTGTTTGTGTGTGTGTAACATGTATCTCTGTGTATCTGTGTGTGCTGATGTTTGTTGTAGCGGATTGTATTCAGCGGTCAGATGACCTGAGTCACACCTGGACGTGGAGTCAGAGCACCAATCAGAGCTTAGGATCAGGGTCATGTGATCTCTTTCAGTGGCATCTGTGTGGAAAGTTCTCCATGTGCCGCTTGAGTCGTTGGGTAAATATTGGTGCACATGGTGCTGCTGAGACCAGCCTGTGTGGTACATCACGGGCCATTACGCCTCACAGACGCGTGTATGTGTGTGTGTGTGTGTGTGATCAGGTACGTGTGTCTTTACCAGTACAGAAGGAAAGTGTGTGTCTGATATTGTGTGTGTGTGAGCGTCTTGTGTGGCCTCTTCAGCACCGGGGCTTTTGTTGGCTTTCAACACGCCTGAGGATCCATAAAGCTGTATGACTCTCTCTCTCTCTCTCTCTCTCTCTCTCTCTCTCTCTCTCTCACACACACACATACACTCACACTCTCTCTCTCACACACACACACACACACACACGTTCATGTAATGTACACAGCATTAACACACACTTTCCCATCAGATCTACACACAGGAGAGTGTGTGCTCTTCACCCGACGGTAATGTAATGGCTTTGTGTGGATCTGCGCTGGATCACAGTGAACCGACGCTCCTGTGTTTACAGCCACTTAGCGTCACACATCAGCAGGCGCTGACCTTTGACCTCTCGCTCGCTCTCTGCCGCGCTAATGGAGAAGAGCGGATGTTATCGCGTGACTGATCGTGTCGTTTCTGATCACCGTCAGTCTGTCACATGCTTTTGTTTGTGATTGCTGACGTAACGCTGCTGTGATGTGATAGTTTCCCCTCACACACACGCACAATATAACATGCTGTGTACTGTACTATATGAATACATTCATCTTGAACTAAAGCTCTAACTTCTGCTTTAAATCAGTTAAACATGCTTTTGAGGATTGTGCAGCTCATACACTGCAGGAACTGATGTTCTTTCTGTCTTGTTTTACAGTGCAAATATCTAAATATTCCTAAATGAAGACACATTTACTGGAGATTACTGGCTGATTTAAGAATGTTCAGTTATTTGTACTGGAAAAAGAAAAAACTGAGTATCTTTACATTCTTAAAAAAAAAAAAAGATACGTTTGATAAAATGCAAAAGGACATAGGAGGAGAAATTCATCAGAATTAAAAATTCATGCCTAAAACTAAATCAAATATCTGCCAATGCAATCAGAAAAATAAACTCATCTCTGTTTGATCAAGATTTTTTCATCTCATGTCATTTTGCATCTCCACTTAAATAAACAACAATTTTTGCAGTGTGTTCACCAATATGTGACCCTGCAGCACAAAATCAGTCTTAAGTCGCTGGGGTATATTTGTAGCAATAGCCAACAATACATTGTATGAGTCAAAATTATTGATTTTTCTTTTATGCCAAAAATCATTAGGATATTAAGTAAAGATCATGTTCCATGAAGATATTTTGTAAATTTCCTACCGTAAATATATCAAAACTTAATTTTTGATTAGTAATATGTGTGTGTCAGCATGTGTGTCAGCGCGTGTGTGAGTGTGAGTGTGAGTGCGTGTGTGTGTGTGTGAGTGTGTGTGTGAGTGTGAGTGTGTGTGTTTGTGTGTGTGTGGGACAGTGAGTGTGCGCAGGGCTCCTGGACAGCGTCCGCTGCTTTAGATTAGATTAGAGGAGAGAAATGGCCCCTGATACGCAGACGGGCCCCTGCAGGCACTGTTGGTTTTGTGACGTTCAGGTTCAGAGCAGAATAACACTCCTCTGTTCTTCAGGTTGTCAGCAGAGATCTAAAATAACTCTTCTGGTGATCTGGACACTATATTTTGTAACAATAGCTTTTAGCTAAATATTTCTCTACAGACACACGGTACAGGGTTTGCGCTCGTCATGAATGAGGATCCTGTGAGCTGAATGTGATGAATGTGATCTGCACACACGCTGGTGTGTTAATATAGCAGAATAATGCTGGAGATGCACGGTTTTGGGAACAAATCGAATTGTGTTCTTTCTGATAAAACGTATCTCTGTGATTTAAAATGGGATTTAAAAAAATCTAAAGCTCAAATATGTAGTGGAATTTGGTAAAAAATGTGATCTTTCTTATTCTTATTATTACTAAAATATCTGAAAAATAAGAAATATTCCTATTGTAATATTTGACTGTAAAAGAAAATGTTTTGTATTTAATAGTAATGATAATTTTAGTTTAGAATTTAGTTTGCAATTTTTGTAAAATTGCAATTGCAATTTAACATGGGATTTTAAAAAGCTCCAGGTTTGCAGTGCAATTTGGCCAACAATTTTGTGATTAAATATCAATATGAGTATAATTTTTTTCTTCTTCTTGTTCTTCCTTCTTATTTTTATTACTAAAATATTTTCCTGTTGTAGTATTTCACTGTAAATTAAAAAAATCAAGAATTTATTATTATTATTGTTGTTGTTGTTGTTGTTTATTGTTATTGTTATTATTATTTTACCGTTTATTTTACAATTTTTGTAAAATTACTATTCCAAATTACCATTGTGATTTAAAATGCTATATAAAAAAAAACAACAACTGCAGTGCAGTTTGGCCAGAAATTGTGATTTAAATATTAATATGACTAATAATAATCAATAGAATAATAATTTTATTATTATTATTATTATTATTACTATTACTAAACTATCTTGAAATAAGAAATGTTCCTGTCATAATATTTCACTGTAAAATAAAAATTGAGTATTTAAATAATAATAATAATAATTTATTTTACAATTTATTTTAAAATACTTTCACTGTTTAATGGTTTGTGGAAAATATCTTGTGTCTCACAGCACAAAAGAAAGAAAGTCACAAAGCTTTAAACAACATCAGAGAGAGTAAATGATGACAGAATTATGATTTCTGGGTGAACCGGCCCTTTAATGTCTAACAGGAGCGGATTAATGCGCTTTAATTAAAGGGGTCATATGATGTGATTTCAATTGTTCCTTTCTCTTTGGAGTGTTACAAGCTCTTGGTGCATAAAGAAGATCTGTAAAGTTGCAAAGACTAAAGTCTCAAATCCAAAGAGATATTCTTTGTCAGTTGACTGATGGCACTGTAGACGTGAGCAGGATCTGAACTATCTGTGGGATTATGAGTGTTTAGTTACAGCTGCAGACACAGATCTTCCCTCATCTGTGTGTGTGTTTATGTAGAAAAGCATAAACTCTAGTTTCAGGCAGTGAGCTGGTTCTGGTTGTTTGGTTATTCAGAGATGGTGAAATATGACACACACACACACTTACACAGGTGTGTGTCTGTAAGAGCAGTGTAAATGGAGCTGGGGGGAATCTCCTGTGTGACCCCTGTGCTCTGACCTATGCATGACCCCGCAGTGACATCTCACACACACACACACACACACACACACACAGGGTGTGTTACGGGTGTCAGAGTGCCATTGTTGAGCGCTCAGTAAATCACAGTCCTGCTGACAGTGATGCCAGATCGCACATGACGGTGAGCGGCGTGATCACATGACACGGGTGTGTGTGTGTGAGAGTGTGTGTGTGTGTGTGTGTGTGTGTGCCCTCAGGTCTGATATTCTGTACCTGATCCTGTGCTTGCAGGTGTGTGAAAGCAGCTCAGACAGATTACAGTCACAGTTCACGCAGAAATCATCATTCTGTCATCATTCACTCCTGTTCAAACTCTAGATGACCGTCTTTGTTCTGTGGAAATCAAGATGTTTAGCAGAATGTTGTTTTCCAAACAGTGCCACGTTCACATGAACACCAATACACTCATAACTCATAAAAATCAGCTTACTGAAATAACCCGTCGTCCTGATTTACATGCAAACGTAATGATTGGGATTTTGCTGTGGTGTGTCGGCCAGAGATAAAACATGTTTCATCAGTCAGTGTTTCTATCAAATAATCAAGTTCAGTGATTCTAGTCAAACTGACAGAATTCAGTGTTTCTTTAATCAGAACCGCTCAGCTAGTGTGTGTGTGTGTGCAGTTGATCTGGAGCACATGCGGACAGTAAAGATGGAGAAGCATCAGCGATTCTGTCAGGAAAACGGACTCCTCAGTCAGTTTGTGTCTGCAAAGACGGGAGACTCTGTGAGTAACACACACACACACACACACACACACACATAAATACATACACACAGACACACACACACACACACATAAACACACACACACACACACACATGAATACATACACACACGCACACAAACACACACATAAATACATACACACACACACACACACACACACACATAAATACATACACACAGACACACACACACACACACATAAACACACACACACACACACACATGAATACATACACACACGCACACAAACACACACATAAATACATACACACACACACACACACACACACACATAAATACATACACACAGACACACACACACACACACATAAACACACACACACACACACACATGAATACATACACACACGCACACAAACACACACATAAATACATACACACACACACACACACACACACACATAAATACATACACACAGACACACACACACACACACATAAACACACACACACACACACACATGAATACATACACACACGCACACAAACACACACATAAATACATACACACACACACACACACACACACACATAAATACATACACACAGACACACACACACACACACATAAACACACACACACACACACACATGAATACATACACACACGCACACAAACACACACATAAATACATACACACACACACACACACACACACACATAAATACATACACACAGACACACACACACACACACATAAACACACACACACACACACACATGAATACATACACACACGCACACAAACACACACATAAATACATACACACACACACACATAAAAACATATACACACACACACACTCTCACATACACACACACACACACACACACACACATAGACATCTATAAATGACCTCATATTGCAAACCCTTGTGACTTCTGCCTAATGACAACACGCTTCACAAAATGCTTTATTTGGATTCACTAAAATCACGTAATCATAACAGAAGTCAAACATTTTAGTCATATACTGTGGAGATCAAAATTAGAGAACAATCTATAAATACTTGATTTTTTCTGAAATATTGTTAATCTTCATCACTCAAAATCTGAAGGAATATCAGCTGTAGGTATACCACTGATCCAACATGTTTGACAAAATAACCAAGGCATTTCAATCAAACCTTTATGTTGTGTAAAACAGTGATCAGAATGAGAGAACAACAACCACTGCAGCACGAAAGATGATTACAGCTAAGATTTTGGAGGGTTACAGCTGTCAGAAATGAGTAGAAGGTGTAGAGGCACATCAGCTCCTGCTGCAGAAAACATCCCCCAAACCATGACACTACCTTCTCCTCCAGCTTTCACTGACTTCTTTACGCACGCGGGCTTCAGTCTTTCCCCAGTTTGACGCCGAACATAATGTTTCCCGTCAGACCCAAATAAATGAAACTTGCTCTCATCACTAAAGTGAACTTTGGAGCTGTTCTCCTCTCTCCACACAACAAGCTCCTCAGCAAAAGTGAGTCTAGTCTTTTGATTCTCTTTGCTGATGAGAGGCTTGATCACTGCAGAGTGTGCTTTCTGTCCCACTTCTCTTAAACGTGCCGAGACAGATCCGTACCCTGTGTACTCTCAACGGGGAATCGGGTTCAGCACTGCAGCCGGAATTGCATCCGATTCCCCATTGAGAGTCTCTGCATTATCCTGTCCTCTTGTGCTTTTGTCTTACATGCACAACCAGCCTTTTTGGGGTTTGACTTGCTCAGTGAAAATTAGAGCAATGCTGCCAGTTAAACAGGGTTTGTCATACATTTAAGGAAATTAGCACCAGGTGCCAGATTAACACCAAGAACTTGGAGGGATCTGTAAGTGTTCTCTAATTTTGATCGGAGTTCTTTTTCAAAAATCTCATTTAAGTGTTTTATACTGTGCTTCAGGATACAATTAATTTATGAAATATGCTTAAAAAACTGCCCTTGTAAAACGGAGAGTTCCGGTGCTTGATTCTGATTTCTTAACAACGCCTCTTAGCTGTTATAAATTCACTGTAAACCACGGCTTCACAGGGATTATTGCTTTATTTTACTCCTGCTAGGAGAACTTCAAATAGGACCAAGCAGTGACCTTGAAATTTAGGAAATTGTAGTTTGTTCTCTAATTTTGATCTCCACTGTATTTTCTTGCAAAAGATGCCTGTGCTGCTGTTGTGAAATTAATGGAAGCTTATTTCTGTCACAGAATAAAAAATAAAAGGTCATTTGAGATAAAAGGTGCTAAATTTTATCTCATAATTCAGACTTTTTCTGGTAATGCTTTATTTTGATAGTTCACTTTAGACATTCTAACTGTAAAAACTCAGAATTGCAAGATATAAACTTCACCATGAACAAGACGGTGATATTGTATGATACTGTACGACTTAGAACTTATGTTTAGGGGTTGGGTTTTTAGGCCAGAAACGTATTTTATGCAACGTATAAGCTTCTGGTAAAGCAAAATCACATACTTATGTTTAGGTTTAGACTTGGCTCATTTGTGTTTGTAGAGTTTCTTATGATTTTAGGGTGTTCTGGTGTCTAATCTGCGTGTATCTGTGTGTTTGCAGGCGTTTCTGTGTTTCCAGCGGCTGGCAGCGGAGATGTTGGGCATGAAGCTGAATAAGGCTGAGATGGAGCAGTCACAGGTGACGATGATCTGTGCTGATCTCAGTGTTTGCTCTTCAGCAGGGCACACGCTTCTCTTTACTCCACTTCTGTGGTAGTTTCTCTGACACATTCATACTAACACTTCCATCATTTCACGAGTCAGATGCATGTGTGTGTTCATTGTGTCTGTTTGTGTTTAGATATTACACATCCACATGTTCTCTCTTATCCAGCTCAGTTGTATTATATTATTTTTCATCTGTAAATCATCGTTACTGTCTTTCTATCTTTATTTTCTTCCTTTAACTAATGCATGGAACCTTATTTTTCTGTTCTGTTTCTCTCCATTTCTCTGTTTCCATTGTGTGTGTGTGTGTGTGTGTGTGTGTGTCGTATTGTCAAAGCAGAGTTGGTGGACTAT